AAACACATTTTATTATGTTTTATTTTTATTATTTCATTACTTCCCTTCTACGTGACGACTTTACCGAAAGAACCAAGAAGATGAATCCCTGCAGTCACGAAAGCTTTAAATCGAAATCGTTCGGTAAAGTCACGTAGAAGGGAAGTAATAAAATAATAAAAATAAAACATAATAAAATACAATTCTCAGTGAGAATAATTTTATTATGTTTTATTTTTACTCTCAGTGAGAATAATTTTATTATGTTTAATTTTTAATATTTTATTACTTCCCTTCTACGTGACGACTTTACCGAAAGAACCAAGAAGATGAATCCCTGCAGTCACGAAAGAAGCTTTACATCGAAATCCGCCACTTTTACTTGTCATGTGCGGGAATTGGACTCGGGTCGCCGGGGGTCGCGACGCAGCGGTGACCACCGCACTACCGCTGTCCACACACGCGCACACACAAATACAAAGGATACACGCACTTACTCTGGCTCGTCTCACACAAACACATTAATCACGAATCTTTCCACCCGGCGCACCCCCTGGCCGTTCCGGCAGCCAGCAAAGCCAACCGCAGCCGCTGGCACGTAAACACTGAGAGGAGAGGGGGGGCACGTGGGGGGATCGGAAGGCTGTAATGCCCTCCTAGCTCCACTGTTGCTTTGTAGCGCAGCGCTGACAAGTCGACAAGTCTCAGCTCGAACGGCCACCCCTACGCTCTAACCAGATGTCCCGCCACACTGCAAGATGTTCAGCTCCTCGGCCAGATGTTTGTCCAACTGCATGGTCAGATGTCCTACTCCATGGTCAGATGTCTATCCAACTGCATGATCAGATGTCCCACTCCACGGCCAAATGTATATCCAACTCCATGGTCAGATGTCCAACTCCATGTCCAGATGTCCAACTGCATGGTCTAATGTTCAACTCCTTGGCCAGAAGTCTGTCTAACTCCATGGTAAGATGTCCCACTCCATGGTCAGATGTCCAACTGCACGGTCAGATGTCCAACTCCATGTCCAGATGTCCAACTCCATGTCCAGATGTCCAACTCCATGGTCAGATGTCTATCCAACTCCACGGTCAGATGTCCCACTCCACGGTCAGATGTCCAACTGCACAGTCAGATGTATGTCCAACTCCATGTCCAGATGTCCAACTGCATGGTCCAATGTTCAACTCCTTGGCCAGATATCTATCCAACTCCATGTCCAGATGTCCAACACCTTAGCCAGATGTTTGTCCAACTCCATGTCCAGATGTCCAACACCTTAGCCAGATGTCTTTCTAGCTCCATGGTCAGATGTCCAACTGCACGGTCAGATGTCTGTACAACTCCATGTCCAGATGTCCAACTGCACGGTCAGATGTTTGTCCAACTCCATGTCCAGATGTCCAACTGCATGGTTCAATGTTCAACTCCTTGACCAGATGTCCAACTCCATGTCCAGATGTCCAACACCTTAGCCAGATGTCTGTCTATCTCCATGGTCAGATGTCCAACTGCACGGCCAGATGTTTGTCCAACTCTATGTCCAGATGTCCCACTCCATGTCCAGATGTCCCACTCCATGTCCAGATGTCCCACTACATGGCCATATTGCCTACCTGACTATGGCCAGAAGTGTTAAATCTGCAATTCTTTACCTTGGCTGCTCCAATCAATGTTTACAACCAGCGTTGTTGGCAGGCAATGTTTGCTGGCAACTGAACAACTGAATTTCCTAACAAATGGAACGTTTAGTGACCAGGCAATGAAAATGATGGAGAGCATTTCAGATCCATTACTTTGTCCAAAGAACATTCCAAGCAAAGGTCACAGGAGTTTTCTCGCTCATTAAAGCATATTGCGTAAAATCTGGTCACTCTGTGGGTAGGTGATCCCCACACTTCTATAACGATATCAATCAGCTCAATGCCTCCCATCAGGTGACTTCTGTGCAGACACGCCAACTCTGAATCCCTCCCCTCTCATCTCTAAATCTACATCTTCTTTTGTCAAGGAGCATAAACCATCATCATGCAAACTCCGGTCATCCTCGCAGAAGCTTGTGGCTAGCTATCGAACAAAGATGGTCACCGCATCATGCGCTTTCCGATGCGCTTCCGTGGCCGTCTGGAACGCTCTTCCTTCCGATATTAGGCAGCCACTGGCGCTATGCACTTTTAAATAATCTAGATTGGAAACTCATTTCTTTAGAATTGCTTTTATGTTTCGTTTGTTGTCCTTCCCCCGCACCTCCCAATTAGCACGGTTCGCGATGTACGGTGCGAAAGAAGTTAAACATACACACATCTGTGAAATGCACAGCAAGAAAAAAAAAGTACCCACTTTTTTCAAAAAAATGTGCTGTGGATTTCACACCTGACGATGATTGCTTGTGTTGCAGTCGAAACGTCGTGAGAATTTTTATTGTTTTATATTTATATTATTTTATTATTTCCCTTCTACGTGACTTTACCGAAAGAACCAAGAATATGAATCCCTGCGGTCACGAAAGCTTTAAATCTAAATTTATACACACATCTCTCTAAATGAGCTCAAACTTCCCGTAACCCACGTGACTTCTGCGTGACCACGCCCACTCTCAACCCCTAACCTCTCTGCCCCTCCCACTATGAAAACAGACGCTGTTCCATGTGCAGCAGCGTCGAGGCTCTCGTGTAGCCTCCTATACCCAACCCTCAGCTCTTCAGACCACTCTGCTCTGGTTTTTTCCGTTCCATTTCCATCCCTTTCCTCTGTTTCCCCACTCTAAAACTATTTTAAAACGATGTTTTATTTCGATTTAAAGCTTTCGTGACTGCAGGGATTCATCTTCTTGGTTCTTTCGGTAAAGTCACGTAGAAGAAAAATAATAAAATAATAAAAATAAAACATAATAAAATAATTCTCACGACGTTTCGGCCACAACGCAAGCAGCCGTCTTCAGGTGAAGAACAGGTTTGTCGAGAAGACACTGCAGCATGAGAAGTCTGTCTTCTCGACAGACCTGTTCTTCACCCGAGGACGGCTGCTTGCGTTGTGGCCGAAACGTCGTGAGAATTATTTTATAATGTTTTATTTTTATTATTTTATTACTTCCATTTTACGTGACTTTACCGAAAGAACCAAGAAGATGTTTTATTTTATCAGGTAAGGGCCCCACTGAGCTATGCAGCTCTTTTTCAGAAGCGACCTGGCCACCACAAGTTATAGCCCAACGAAGTGGCTTGTCAACAACGTGTGGCAATGTATCACAGCCGATTACTCTAAACGCATGACGTCGATTTGAAATGTGGAGGGGAAAACTGGAGGACCCGAAGAAAAAAAATCAACGCGACCACAGGGAAAAAGAGAGACACACGCAAACTCCAAATACACTGGTCAACAAAAAAAAAAAAAAATTCTGGCCTGGACTTTTGCAGCTGTTCTAGACTAATTTCAGGGTGCTGATTCCAAATCTGATCTCATATTTGCTCTATCACATCTCATTTTTATGCTATCGGCATACCCCATTTTCATTGATTTTACCCGAAATTAACTCTGTCACTTATGATTGCAAGTTGTTGCGAGTCAGTGACTGCTTTAGTGTTAAAATATGGTGCTGTATTTTTAGGATAGTGTGTTTATAATATCATTTAATGTAGATATCCACATTTATTTAATATTTTTCTTCTGCAGTTTTTATTGAAAATTCAATATTTGATATCTCAAAAGCCTGATGTGATAGACAAAAACTGATGCCAGATTTGGAATCAGCACCCCAAAATTACCTTAAACCCGTTGGAATACCTTATGCCAGAAAAAGTGTGTTGACCAGTGATATAGAGCGGGCGTCAGGGTCGGGATCGAGCCCACAACCTCGTTCATACCAGGCGAGGTAGTAAACATCTCGCCACCATGGCACCTTGTTCTTTTCACCCTCCCTTTCTGTCCCTCTCTCCATACTTTATTTATCCGTCACTTTCCGCGCCTTCCAGGTGGTGTGGCCACGTTGTACACAAGCCGTTCGTATGAACAAAGAATTGCCTTGCAATTCGTTGCCTGCTTGACCTTTTACAGACTGTGAATGAAGTCATTTCTCGTTCGTAGCGGTTGTTGCGTTCCGGAAAAGTGTCGCGTTAAGGCGAGGAATTACTGCACAGTACCGAATCACATTGGCAGTGTAAAGTCAGCCTGCAGTCATCCCATGGTGGGACACAAAACTGAGATGGCGGTACACTGCCACCATGTACTGTATCATTCCACACAAACTGCATCATTCCGTATGTAACGGGTTCCGGAGACACTTGTAGAGGTAACTTCGTTATTACAATCCAACACTCCAACAGTCCTGATACTCTGTTACAGCCTAGGTACACAGCCTAGGTACACAGCCTAGATACACAGCCTAGATACACTACTCTGGCTATGCTCTGGAACTCGCCCTCACAAGGACGTAGAGCCGGGAGTTCCAGAGTCCCACCACTGGCCCTTACAGCGTCCCAGGGTCCTCAGATGGCTGGTCAAGGGTCTTGGGTCTTGAGCTACAACTGGGCCTCGATCGTCCAGGGAGCTGCCCCTTTATGCCTCGTCCCCAACGAGGGGTGGGGTTGTGTGCGCCCCCAGATATCCCACAGAGCACACACAGCCCCCCCCCTGTTGGTGGCGCCAAGGGGCTTAAGCGTCTGGGTTGCCTAGGGTCCCAGAGCCCCCAGCAGCCCCTCCCCTCTTATGTCACTACACGTGTACTGTGTCAGCCGCGCAGCTCAAGAAAGTATTTCGTCGTCGACCACTCAGAAACTGTGTGATAATGGGCGCGCGTTCCATGCTATAACGGGCACGTGTTATGCGTTATAACAGGCACGCGTTCTGCGTTATAACGGGCGCCCGTTCCGCACTGCATCATGAGAAGTGGCCCATAATGCATTGCGTTTGGGAGTGGGAGAACTGACCGATGCTCCGTCCCATACTACAGAGTCAACGTCCACCTCCGTTCTCCTGCTCCGTCTCAATTGCTACTGATGATGTCGTCGCTCTCTCTGCCTTTCAGAAGCACAGTCACTTTGCGGACTCGACGAACCTCGGCATCTCCACACCCGTTCACTCCGCCACCGCGAATCCTTCGCGTCGTTCGGTCAGGGGGCCTCACGCAGGAGCGCTCAACCCACCCCGTCGGCTAAGCGACCGACCTTCCACTCGTCGCAACCCTTCGACTCCACGTGGCAAGGATGCACCGTCCACAGGTGCCCGTGCTGGTCCTGCTGGCGCTACAGCTGCTGCTGCTGGGCGTGGACCCGGGCCGCGCTAGAGTCCTCGAACGCTCCACCCACGGCCCCCACCGCCGACTCCACAGGAGGGCCTTGGCGGCCGCGCCCGCAGGCCGCGTCGGCAAGGGCCTGCTCCGACCCCACGCGGCCCCTCTGGCGGCCTCGGGCGGCGAGCAGCAGGTGTCGGTGCAGCTGCCCGCCGACAGCGTCACCAGCTCCGGGCCGTCGCCCGTCGTCTTCAACCACGTCTACAACATCAATGTGCCGCTCGGCTCCATGTGCAGCGTGGACCTGCAGGCGGCGCGGGGAGCGGCCGGGGCTGCGGCCGCTGCTTCTATCGTGAGCCCTCAGGATGAACCTGGCACCCCCCACCCCACCCCTCCCCCCCCATCAATTCCCCCTCTCCACACACCCCTCCTCCCCTGCTGAGCTCTCAGTTTCAATCCTGAACTCTGAGCTCCCCTCTTTCTCTCCCCCCTCCTCTTCCTCTCCTCCCCCTCTCCTCTTCCTTCACATCCACCTCCTCCTCCTCTCTCTCCTCCTTCTCCTCTTTCTTTCATCTCCCTCCTCCTCCCCACCTGTCTCAAAACTCCGAAACTGATCTCACGCGTTACCTGAACTGCACGCAGGCAGACTAGGGGGTGATCAATCCGAGATTTTTACTACCTCACTTGGTATACAGGTCGTGGGTTCGATCCCGACCTGATGCCTGTATATTTGTAGTTTGCAGTGTCTCTCTTCCCGTGGTCTCGTGGATTTTTCTCCGGGTCCTCCGGATTTTCCCTCCACATTTAGAATCAACATCACGCGTTTAGAGTATTTGACTGCTTAGAAATTTCCACATTAATAAGCCACTTCGTTGAGCTATCATTTGTGTCCAGGTTGCTTCTGAAAAATAACTATACAGATCAGTGGGCCTTACCGGGTAAAATAAAAATTATGTTGTTTTTAGTTCAGTATACAGTCATAATCAGTATTTTAACTTAACCTCCACCTCCCAGCGACAGAGCCAATCACAAATGAATCTCCAATATTCCTCCTGTTTTGCCGATACAATCCAATGTTAAACGCGTGCAACGTTGCTATACGTGCATCGGCTGCATCGTGGGGTAATTAAAGTTTAAGTTCTTATCTGCAGCGGGCAACTTTGTTCACAGAGAGCCTTTGTGAACAAAGTTGCACAAGCAACACGGACTCGGATTGGCTGGACCGAGTCACGTGCTGTGTCATGGCAACCGGGTAAAAAAAATGGCCGCGTTTCTTTCACGCGTGCGACAGCTCGGAAGATTTACTTGCGATACGAGCGTTGAATTAATTTACGGGAAATAACATTCACCTCCTAGTCATCTGTAGTTCTGTAATATTAACATTTTTTTTTCAACATTCCTTAATTCGTGTTTATTAAATCCTTTATATTAAGTTCGCTTGCTTGCGTGCTTGCGTGCTTGCTTGCTTGCTTACGACCGTACAAATCTTTTGGTCGTTTCTTAACACACTTCCCGTGATCCAATCGAGCTGACATTTTCCACACAGACTCGTTGAGCGTGGCAATTAATTTTCGTGAAAAAAATGTTCCAAAATTTTACACTGTTTAGGGAATTTTTTAAAAATATTTAATGACCAATTGCTTAATACTGGTAGACAATCATCTGACCCATAGGTGGCAGCCATCTCAAGCCAGAGGACGAGAGCACTCTAGCCGCCACGCATATAAAGGATTTATAGTGAAAAACTTTGTTTTTACGGGTAAATTTTTTTTTTGGCTGAGTCCGGATTCCTTTCATCGCTTAGATCACTCTTGCCAGGCTCTCCTCTTGGCCCGGGCTGTCCCAGGCGAGGAGGGGAGGGTGGCACGTGCGTCGATTATTACAGATAGGCACCAGCGGCTGCGGTTTCACGGCTCGCTGGTGGATAACAAACTTCACGTTGTAAATCATCAAAGAGCAACAACCGCTTAGGAGTTTAGCACCCTTTGAGAATGCGGGCGGGCAGAGTTACGTTGGTGGGGGGGGGGGGGGTTGCGCTGTGTCTGGGTTTTCCTGAGTTGTTATCGGTTGGTTGGCCATGCTCCATAATCTTGACGAGGATCTTGGCCAGGTTACGTGTCGACTCATTGTTCTTAATCAGTTAAGATTTATTCAGATGTTATTTTTTTAATGGTTTTATCTGTAAAGGTTTTTTTCCTCGGTTGATTTATTAAAGTTTTTTTTCTTTCTAAGGGTTAAATTGTATTTGTATCGGCTTTTAGCTGTTAAGGGATTGATTCAGTTTCATCTGTTAAGGTTTTTATATATTTTGTTAAGGTTTTAGCTGCAAAGGTTTATTCAGTTTTATTTATTTAGGGTTTTATCTGTCAAGGATATATTTAGTGTTGTATTCAGTTGTGTTTTTTGGGGGTTTTATCTGTTAATGGTTTAGTAAGAGTTTTGGTTCTATCCGTATAAGATTTTTTTTTTCAGTTTTATTTGCAAATATTTTTTTTTATATGTTAAGGGTTTATTTAGTTGTACTTTTCAGGGGTTGTATCTGTTAAGGGTTTTATTTAGTTTTATCAGTTGAGGGTCGCGTTATTTTATGCAGAGCGCTGTGAGACCTTGTTGTGAATGACGCTGTATTAGAATCATCCTTTTAGCAAAAATGTCGAACTCAATTGCTAAACGCCATGGACTACTCTCCACTGTACCGGTGTGCTGAAGCAATAAGCAAGGCCCGGCATGCTTGTCCACGTGATAACTTTATTCATTTGACCGTGCCGGGTGGAGGAGGGTGCACGACACACGTTGGAATTTCACTCACGCGATTGTACCAGATTAAAACAAATATATCAAAAATCTTCTTGGTTCTTTCGGTAAAGTCACGTAGAATGGAAATAATAAAATAATAAAAATAAAACATAATCAAATATTTCTCACGACGTTTCGGCCACAACGCAAGCAGCCGTCCTCAGGTGAAGAACAGGTCTGTCGGAAAGACAGCGTCTGACAGACCTGTTCTTCACCTGAGGACGGCTGCTTGCGTTGTGGCCGAAACGTCGTGAGAATTATTTGATTGTGTTTTATTTTTATTATTGTATTACTCCCCTTCTACGTGACTTTACCGAAAGAACCAAGAAGATGAATCCCTGCAGTCACGAAAGTTTTAAATCGAAATATCATGAATCGTAAAAGTCACGTGTGAGAAAGCCTACACCATTTACATTCAACAAAACACCCGACAACTTCAAACGCAACATGAGTGATAATAACCCTCTCGAGTCCCCGAATTCATTCCATGGCTTTAAAAGGCTCTTCTTATCTCTCCTCCACTTCTACGCACGCCTGTGGGCCCCCACTCGCCAATTTAAATTAATGGGCGCCAGGTGGGTAAGTCCCAACAGCCGAGTGGAGTGGCGTGCCGGGCTTGCACAGCCTATTAAACCTGCCCAGTGTTAAACACTGCCACGGCACTGGTGCAAGACCCTTGCATTGTTCTTCTTGGTTCTTTCGGTAAAGTCACGTAGAATGGAAATAATAAAACAAAACATAATAAAATAATTCTCACGACGTTTCGGCCACAACGCAAGCAGCCGTCCTCAGGTGAAGAACAGGTCTGTCGATAAGACAGAGTCTGAATGACACGTCCTGGGCTTGGAGCGTCTATTTAAGCTGGGAGGGAGGAGGAAGAGCGCCTTGACAAAATAATTTGTATATCAAGAGGAATTTTATCATATTTATGTAACATTACACTATGTATTTTTCTACCCACCCTACTGCACACCACACATTGCTCAAGCCCAGATCCACACTTGCACACAGAGAGGGTTTACCCACGGGGTGGTGAAACCCCCATGCAGGTGACCCCCAGATGCCGGCCCTGTAGCTACCACTGCGAGGTCGCACTTATTACACACAAAGTGCTTGACACAAATGAACCACAATACCTCGCTGATCTCGTGAAGGAGCATAAACCACCATCACGAAAACTCCGGACATCCTCGCAGCCATCAAACAAAGACGGTGGTCACTGCTGAATCATTGTGTTACGTTCAGATGCGCTTCTGCGGCCGTCTGGAATGCTCTCTTAGGAAGCCACTGGAGTTACGCACTTTTAAATCATCTTGATTGAAAACTAATTTCTTTAGAACTGCTTCTTGTTTGGTTTGTTGTCCTTCCCCTGCCCCTCCGATTAGCACAGTTGGCTACGTACGGTGCGAGAGTAGTTCAACATACGTGGAGGAGTGGCAAACCTTGGTCTTGCTGTTATATTTGAAGGCTCTTTACGGCTGTAGCGGTTGCACCAGCCTCTGTATTGCAGCAACACTTTAGCAGCAACTCTAGCCAGGGCAGTCCATGTGGGGGGGGGGGGGGGGGTGTGCGGGGTCCAGGGCAAAATCCCTGCCTGGGCCCCACCGACGCCTTCAAACTAAACCGGATGTATCACATCTGACACCGTGACATCTGACACAGGGTTCAGTCCAATTGTCAAAGCACATTTGCGAAATATATGTTGTTAATATTCTCGAGTGGCCCCTAGGGAAAGCACCAAGCACCGTGATGGCATGCGATTGCTTTAATTTTTAAAAACCGCATTCGTGCCCTCTACCACGAGCCCTGCACGCAGCAAGTGAACGCCGAGTCTCTCAGTCTGCACATCATCATCATCTGGGATCCCTCGAGTTCAACTGTGATGATCCTCCATGGACAGCGATTATTGGTCAGGGTTTGTGGGTATGCACAGGTGGCTGACGAGGCCCATCCTGGAACCACAACGCCTTGTTCACAGTGATGGCGCCGCGTGTTGTCGTTATTGATAGTTTGGAAACTTCGAGTGACCCGTCTAGCCTGGCTGCGTTCTTTCCTTCGTGCCCGTTTTGTCGGTTTCGCGATGGCCGGCATCTTTGTGACTCGAATTCCAAGATGAGCACTCGAGTGCTAGCTGCCGCCCCCCCCCCCCCCCCCCCATGTTACCTGGGTCGATGTTGCACTTGGTGATGTTGCTCTCACCAAGTGTAAGAGCAACCGCGCCTGTAATGTTTCTGCTGGCCCCCTCTGGAGCGTGTCCTGATCTTGAGTTGGGAATAGAAGGACTTGCTGATCATGTGCACAACCCAACGGAGCTGACTTTGAGTGATGGCAGCTTTAAAAAAACTCCAGGATCCGGCCTCTTTAAGAACACCAACATTTGGTTTGTTTGTATCTGCCAGGTGATGCCAAGCATTTTCCGTAAGCAGCGCTGATGGAAATTCTCAAACGCCTTGAGGTGTGATAATGTGCACAACCCAACAGAGCTGACGTTGAGTGATGGCAGCTTAAAAAAACTCCAGGATCAGGCCTCTTCAAGAACACCGACATTTGGTTTGTTTGCATCTGCCAGGTGATGCCAAGCATTTTCTGTAAGCAGCGCTGATGGAATTTCTCAAACGCCTTGAGGTGTCTTCTCTACGTTTCACACGTCCCTGTGCAATACAGGAGTGTGGGGATCACGACAGAATTATAGACCACTAATCTGGTGGTCGTGATGATGTCGTGGCCATTTAAGACTCCTGTCTTAGGCGAACGAAGGCTGCGACGTTGAATCTCCTTGTCGATGTCTACTTTGCGTGACAGATGTCTGCCAAGATGAGGAAAATACTCCACGTTCTCTAATAAGGTATCCTGGACCCTGATTAGAGGTGGAGGTGATGGAACACTGGAATTCGGCGGAAATAATGCTTTTGTTTTTCTGGTGTTGAGTGTAAGCCCCATCCTGCTGTACGCTCCGGCAAAGACATCAACAATTACCTGAAGATCGGTGACCGTACAAGCACCAACTACTGCGTCACCTGTATATTGCAGCTCCACGAGAGATGCGAACGCGATCTTAGATTTGGCTCTGAAGCGGCCGAGATCAAAGAGTTTGCCGTCCATACTGTTGGTTCGTTGTACACCAACAGGGAGTATGTCCGATGGGAGATGAAGTGTCACTGCAAGAAATATGGAGAAGAGCATTGCGGCAATAGCACGTCCTCATTCGACGCTGGCCCTTATGTCAATCGGGTCAGCCGTGGAGCCATTGCAGACGATTACCGCCCTGGACGCCATCGTGGAGGAGACGGAGAATGTTCACAAACTTTATGAGTTTCGATTTAAAGCTTTCGTGACTGCAGGGATTCATCTTCTTGGTTCTTTCGGTAAAGTCACGTAGAAGGAAAATAATAAAATAATAAAAGTAAAACATAATAAAATAAAGTAATAAAATAATATAATATTAAATCATTTTTAATGTTTTATTTTTATTATTTTATTATTTTCCTTCTACGTGACTTTACTGAAAGAACCAAGAAGAAGAAAAAAAACTTTATGGGGGCAGCCATTTTTTTCAGCAGGGCCTCACGGTTGACGGAGTCGAAGGCTTTGGTCGGATCAAAGAAGGCCACGTAGAGGGGTTGATGTTGCTCGTGGTACTTCTCTCGCAGTAGTCGAGCAGAGAAGATCATGTCTGTAGTACCTCTTGCTTGGTCTACAGCAGTGGTTCTTAAGGTGCACGCACTCCCTGGGGGTGCGAGATGCCCTTTGTGGGGGTGCGAGACACGGCCAGATTTCTTAGGAGGTAAATCATCAAAACACAAATTAAGCACCGGCACTTACATACTAATCTTGATTTGAAGCTTTCGTGACTGCAGGAATCCATACTCTTTGGTTCTTTCGGTAAAGTCACGTTGGTAGAAATAAAACAAATCACGACGTTTCGAACGCAACACAAGCGCTGGTCTTCAGGTGGAAATCTCGATAGTCGCGATGATGTCTGCTGCCTTGAGCAGCACGATGTCTGCTGCAGACATCCGACCAAAGCCTTGTGTTTGAGAACGATTGAGAAGCAAAGGGGTGCGCGGCTGCAGTAAATGTTAGAAACCGTCGCTCTAAATCCACTGAGCTTGAACTGGCCACGCCCAGGACCTCTATGACGCGTCGGGAGAAACGTGGCTACTCAAGCGCTGTGGGTGGAGGCCCGGTGTCTGCCTATGTCATTACTGTGTTGCGTTCCCATTAATCGTATTCAAATTCCTCTCTTCATGGGTTTAAAATGGGGGGTGTCTGTTTTAGTGCTGAATAAGACACTGCGCCCCACAGTTTCAGCAAACCTGCTAAGGCTCAATGTCAGCTCTCCGTTGACGTCCTTAAAACAAAACGGGATGGATGAATATCTCTCTGGCTAGGATAGCGGATGATTGATTTCACTTACAACAGTGGTTACAATGTTAAATAGAGTGACCCTCATCTGGAATAAGCGATAGGGCAGAGTGAAAGACACGATATAAGTGATCCAGCGCAGAACTACGAGCAGATTGATGAATCGCATCGCTGTAATAAAGTTCTGGTCGGAAGGAGGATGCCTTGAGGTAATGGCAAGTGGATAATGAGAAGCAGAATTTATCTTTGAATCTGACTTTCAGTTTCGTGGGTTTAAGTGTTTATTTCCCGAAATTCAAGTGGGCATCGAGCCAGAGGTGCCAGACACGTGTAAGAGTTTCCATTTTCACCGCCATAGCCAAAATGGGGATGACAGAAATGGTGTAAAAAAAATGGGGGATTAAAGAGCACTTGGGAGACGCGACAGATTACACGTCTCGTGGAGTGTCGGCGACATACCGTTCCGTTCAATGCAAAATCAAAATCTGTTTGCAAACTATGTTTGGGCTTCATCCATCAAGGAGGCAGGTGGATATCCAATTCCGTGAGCAGAAGGAAGTGGGTTTTCCATTGTGTCATCAGGGTCCCCAGGAGAACTAGGTCGGGTAGGTTGTGTTGTTTCCCCACACTGAAGATAGATTACCGCAATGAGCTTTTTTTCTGGTATTTCTGGTCGTGCTATTTCGCAACTGTAACTTGTCTTCCTTCTGGTATTAGGAAGTTACTGGAGCAGTGCACTTTTAAATCATCGAGATTGAAAACTCAGTTCATTCGAACGGCTTTTTGTGTTCCGTTTGTTGTCCTTTTCCCGCACCTCCGATAACACTGGTCAACAACAAAAAAAAACTTTTTTCTGGCCTGGACTTTTGCAGCTGTTTTAGACTAATTTCAGGGTGCTGATTCCAAATCTGATCTCAGATTTGCTCTATCACGTCTCATTTTAATGCTATCGGCATACGCCCTTTTCATTGATTTTACCCGAAATTAACTCTGTCACTTATGATTGCAAGTTGTTGCGAGTCAGTGACTGCTTTAGTGTTAAAATACGGTGCTGTATTTTTAGAATAGTGTGTTTATAATATCATTTTATGTAGATATCCACATTTATTTAATATTTTTCTTCCGCAGTTTTTATTGAAAATGCAATATTTGATATCTCAAAAACCTGACGTGATAGACAAAAACTGATGCCAGATTTGGAATTACCTTAAAACCGTTGGAATACCTTATGCCAGAAAAAAGTGTGTTGACCAGTGTTGTCGCGGTTGGCTGTGTATGGTGTTGCGAAATAATTTCAACGTACATACAATCAATCGATCTTAATTATACGTGCCAATATCGACCTCAGTGAAGTAGGCTAAAGTGCACATTATAACAGAATGGGAACGATAATTGTTTTTTTACCCTTCTATCTGGCAACAAAACTGACACCTTTTTTTACAAGGAGTCATGTTTGCATAGACCACAATACCTGCAGCCATAATGCAAATTTTTTTATCATATTTTTTACTGGCAAATGAGGTTCCAATGGTGTAAATGCTTACCCCGAGCTCTCTTACTCTGATGGCGCATTGTCTTTGAGTTGTGCGCCTTTTGGCGTCATCTGGTCCAACACCATGTGAGACTAGGCTCTAAGGAAAGCTGTCTCGGGTGTGGACCAATCAACTTCAAGGACAGTGTATATATTATCAGAGTTATGTTTTTTGTTTGCATTATGACTGCAGGTATTGTGGTCTATGCAAACATGACTCCTTGTAAAAAAGGTGTCAGTTTTGTTGCCAGATAGAAGGGTAAAAAAACTATTATCATATTTTTTACTGGCAAATGAGGTTCCAATGGTGTAGAATGGGAACGGTACAGGAGCTTGGCACAAAAACAATGAAAACACCCATCACGACTTAAGCGGCGGACACCCATTGAGCAAAAATAAAGTGCAACCGTGCGGAAACGAACGCACAACACAACCTGTACAACATCCTGCTACTTTGTTCCCCCACGCTGAACACAACCCATGTGCCCTGTTCCTGTGTGCAGACTCCAGGCCACTCTCACGTAGAGCGCACGGAAGACGGCGAGAACAGCGTGGTCTTCACGCACCGCATCAACATCCCTCCGCAGGCGTGCGGGTGTGGAGGGGCCGGCGGTGGGGGGGCCCTGCCCAACCTCCAGGACCTGCTCAGTCGCCTGGAGGCCATGGAGAACGAGGTCTCCTCTCTACGCCAGCTCTGCTCCGGAGCCTCCGGGGGCTGCTGCAACGGGGGCCAGGGGAACGCGGCGAGTGGTGAGAGCTCCAGTCACCTCTCACTACACGCTGTAATCATCCGCGCGCTGTGATGAGTGCGGTTCTAGGAACCGTGTCCGTGTGATATGCTTAGCTGCAGTGTAACGGCCAGCGCGCTGCGCTATGAACCCGGCGACACGAGTTCGATACCCGCTTACGACCGCCAACACCAGTGACGGTTATCTGAATCGTTCCTGGGCCTCCCTGAGGTCGACTCAGCCTCAAATGAGTACCTGCTATGACGTGTAAACATCGTCACTCAGGAGACGAAGGCGGTTGGGCGTGGTGCTCGCCATGCATCCCTCGTGTCCCGTGCCGGCCTTCATAGGTGCTGCTCGCTAACAGCACTTGCCCCTGCAGTCTGTTAAGGCTACACGCAGAGCCGGCCCAGCCACTAAGCGACCCTTGCAATTGCAAAGGGCCCCGTGGCCAGCAGAGGGCCCCCCTAGAGTCACTGCTAGCTAGTGGGTGAAAAAAATCATACATCAAAGGGGCCTCCAACCAAATTTTGCTTAGGGCCCCCAAAGGTCTAGGCAGTGGCGGCTCCTGCAAAATCTCTCAGGGGGGGCAAATGTCTGGATGATTTATAAGGATAAGGTCCACCCATGCAAAAGATAAATTAACAGCTTAAGCATGTAAAGGCAACTTCACTTCTTTAATATTAATGAAAAATAAAGTGACTCTTACAATACATCTTGTTTGTTTCTATACTCACTATTAATACAATCCACTCAAGTTTCTTTTATTAAAGATTCTACTAGGTGGCGACAAATAATATTGTTGGATGAAATGTGCTTACGTACGATGACGTAAGCACGTTAGTGCGAGCCCTCCCGGAAGCCATAGAGAATGCATTGCAGCGCCCCCCGTTCGAAAAAAAACATCTCTGAATGTAAGTCTATGGGAACACTCTGGGCGATTCTCAGCCGGAGTGAAATCGCCCAAAAAGAGGCGGTACTCCACAGAACGTGACATGACGCTGATTGGACTATATCCAGAGGCACAGTGACGGCTAGCGTGACTCTGTGGTTGAATGACATTGGTGGTGCGTCGCCCAATCGCCCTAATGAAGAAACCGCCCCTGGGTCTAGGGCCGGTTCTGGCTACACGGGAGCGATGGCTCTTTGTTTTTAAATCCTTTATATTAAGTTCACTTGCTTGCTTGCGACCGTGCAAATCTTTCGGTCGTTTTTTAACCCACTTCCCGTGATCCAATCGAGCTGACATTTTGCACACGGACTCGTTGTGCGAGACAATTAATGTTCGTGAAAATTTTTTTCCAAAATTTTACACTGTTTAGGGAAAACAAATTAAATATTTAATTACCAATTGCTTAATACTGGCAGACAATCATCTGACCCATAGGTGGCAGCCATCTCAAGCCAGAGGACGAGAGGACTCTAGCCGCCCGATGCCACGCATATAAAGGATTTATAGTGAAAAACTTTGTTTTTACGGGTTATACTTATTTGACTTACTGAGCAGGCGCATTTGCTTTGCGTGTCGCTTGCAGCGGGCCGCACCGACTACCTGCCCGCGTGCGGAGGCCACGGCTCCTTCAGCCTGGAGACGTGCGGCTGCATCTGCGAGCCGGGCTGGAGCGGCAAGAACTGCACGGAGCCGACGTGCTCGCCGCCGTGCGTGCACGGCCGCTGCGTCGACGGCGCGTGCCTGTGCGACGAGGGCTACTCGGGGCCCGACTGCCGCGTGCTCAAGTGCCCCAACGACTGCAACGACTACGGCCGCTGCGTCGACGGCAAGTGCGTGTGCGACGACGACTACACGGGCGACGACTGCAGCGAGCAGCGCTGCCCGAACGAGTGCAGCGACCGGGGCAACTGCGTGGACGGGGTGTGCGTTTGCGACGAGGGTTTCACTGGCGAGGACTGCAGTGGGACCCGGTGTCCGAATGACTGCCAGGACCGCGGCCGCTGTGTCAATGGCCAGTGCGTGTGCGACGAAGGCTTCACCGGCGACGACTGCAGTGAACTGACCTGCCCGGATGACTGTAAGGACAGAGGACGATGCGTCGATGGGAAATGCATCTGCGACGAAGGCTTCACTGGTGAAGACTGCGGCGAATTGACCTGTCCCAACAACTGTCAAGACAAAGGAAGATGCGTCGATGGGAAATGCGTCTGCGATGAAGGTTTCACGGGCGAAGACTGCAGTGAATTGACCTGTCCCAACAACTGTCAAAACAGAGGACGATGCGTCAATGGGAAATGCATCTGCGATGAAGGTTTCACTGGGGAAGATTGCAGTGAATTAACCTGTCCCAATGATTGTCAAGACAAAGGAAGATGCGTCAATGGTAAATGCATCTGCGATGAAGGTTTCACTGGGGAAGACTGCAGTGAATTGACCTGTCCCAATAATTGTCAAGACAAAGGAAGATGCGTCAATGGGAAATGCATCTGCGATGAAGGCTTCACTGGAGAAGATTGTAGCGAACTTAGGTGTCCCAACGACTGCAGTGACAAAGGAAGATGCGTCGACGGGAAATGCGTCTGTGATGAAGGCTTCACTGGGGAGGATTGTAGTGAACTTAGATGTCCCAACGACTGCAGTGACAAAGGAAGATGCGTCGACGGGAAATGCGTCTGTGATGAAGGCTTCACTGGGGAGGATTGTAGTGAACTTAGATGTCCCAACGACTGCAGTGACAAAGGAAGATGCGTCGACGGGAAATGCGTCTGTGATGAAGGCTTCACTGGGGAGGATTGTAGTGAACTTAGATGTCCCAACGATTGTCAAGACCAAGGAAGGTGCGTCGATGGCAAATGTGTCTGCGATGAAGGCTTCACTGGGGAAGATTGTAGCGAACTTAGGATGTCCCGACGACTGTAAGTGACAGAGGAAGATGCGTCGACGGGAAATGTGTCTGCGATGAAGGTTTCACTGGAGAAGATTGTAGCGATCTTAGATGTCCCGACGACTGTAATGACAGAGGAAGGTGCGTCGACGGGAAATGTGTCTGCGATGAAGGTTTCACTGGGGAAGATTGTAGTGAACTTAGGTGCCCTAATGACTGCAGTGACATAGGAAGATGCGTTGACGGGAAATGTGTCTGCGATGAAGGTTTCACTGGGGAAGATTGTAGCGAACTTAGGTGCCCCAATGACTGCAGTGACAAAGGAAGATGCGTCGACGGGAAATGCGTCTGCGATGAAGGCTTCACTGGGGAGGATTGTAGCGAACTTAGGTGTCCCAACGACTGCAGTGACAAAGGCAGATGCGTCGATGGGAAATGTGTCTGCGATGAAGGTTTCACTGGGGAAGATTGTAGCGATCTTAGATGTCCCAACGACTGCAGTGACAGAGGAAGATGCGTCGACGGGAAATGCGTCTGCGATGAAGTCTTCACTGGGGAAGACTGCACAGAAGGTAAGGACATTGCATCTCTGAGGAAACCAGTTCATTTATGAAATCATACTATATTATTTAAATAAAATTTTGCTGGCTGGCTTCCTGGCTAGATTGTTGGTTGCCGAGCAATTGTGCATGCACAGTAGTGACATCACTGCACACATGTGTGATGTCACTCAAATCACACAGCGTTGAGCCAGATTCGATCGTCGCGTTTTTTTTATACTGACAATAAACATATTAAACAAGTATTTCGTAAACCTGAATCGGGAACGTAACTTCTGCAATAACACCCGGGCCGCTCACCCCATTAGCTCAATGCTAAAATTAAGCTCTAAGGCAGCCAATTTGTGCCTTCCCAATGAAAGCATAACGCAGCACAATACCAAATGTTATAAACTATAAAAAAAAACAGTTATATTTTCATCACCAAAACACTATAATCATCTTCCAACCACGTTATGTGTAGTGATTCGAGTTGGACTGATCAAAATAAACAATTGACACTCGTAATAATTATAATGAAATAACTCGCCACGAGGCACAGGCGCCATCTTATTCGATTTCCCGCGCAAAAATTACAAATATAATACAACCCAAAAATAATTGATCCACTCGTACCTCCAATAGTTATCATAAACACCCTCACATTCTAGACCCAATTATTGTATTCTATATGGTGAAGTCAACTTTAATATCAAAGTCTTAATTGTGCATATCTCTATTACCACCGATAACTCAATCAACATTCAATTGACATTACCGAGTTCTTGTCAGTCAATGGACGTTCAAGTAATATCAATTTATAATATTTATATATTATTGGAGCTAATGTAAACAGGTCCCTGCAGGGTGGGCTGGTAGGAACGAATAACCAAAGAATATAAACATAATGTATTATTACACTTGTTTAGCCAGGAAAGCCTCACTGAGTGTAAAGGTTTTTGTAGGGTCCTGCCAAGTGTTTGCAGTAGGGGGCGATGTTGCTACACCTAATCGGACGATACGAAGGGAGAGTTTCAGGCCTAGTTCTAGGCTTTAGGCCTAGCTGTAGGCTTTAGGCCGCAGTGAGTGAATTTTTTATTTAAATGTTTTAATTATTGATGTAGAATTATTAATGTAAAAGCTTTAAATGTAAATGTTTCTATTTAAAAACATCAGGGAATGTAACATTGTTAAACATTAACTCCCTTTCACACACGCGGGGGTACGATACGAAGGGAAATCCGCCCAAATCGAAATTTGGGTACGTCTCATACTCTGCTGTGCACGTGGGGCTCTGGGTCCAACCCCTGATCACTGCCTTATCGTGTAATAATCACAATATAAACTATTTTAAACGAATTTTGAATTCACCAGATGAAGCCCACTGAGCTATATAGTTCTTTTCCAGAAGCGACCTCGCCACAAATGACGGCTGAACTTTAGTGGCTTATCGCGTGGAAATGTATTGCAGCCAAATATTCTAGACACGTGTTTGTAGATGTGGAGGGAAACGCCGGAGGACCCGGAGAAAAATCCACGCCACCATGGGGAGAGAGACACACTCAAACTCCAAATATACAACAGGTGTCAAGGTTGGGATCGAACCCACCAACGACCTCCTGTATACCGGGCGAGGTAGTTAACATCTTGCCACCGTGACGTCTAATAATAAATTAGTAGCATTAAAAAAACCTTTTTTTAAAACACACTTTAATGACATGTACCCTACTAGTAATGGAAGAACTCCACGACTCCAGGAAGTGGCCCCGAAGCTTGTCATAATGTAAGGAACCGTGGTGATTTACAGCCAGCGTCAGTTGAGCGTGGACAATTAGACC